TTTTTTTTTTTTTGAGACATAGTCTTGCTCTGTTGCCCCAAGCCAGAGTACAGTTGCATCATAGCTCATCCTGCCTCAGCCACCCCCATAGCTAGGACTACAGATGCATGCCTTTGTGCCAGGCTAATTTTTTTATTTTTAGTAGAGACAGGGTCTCGCTCTTGCTCAGGGTGGTATTAAAATCCTGAGCTCAATTGATCCTCCTGCCTTGAACTCCCAGAGTACTAGGATTACAGGTGTGAGCCATAGCTCCTGACTTTATTTTAGTTTTAAATAAATGGTTTGCTTTTTATTTTTCAGATAATAAAATAAAATTTAGGACAAAATAGCACCTGATTAAATTATAATTTAGCAATCCATATCTAAGCAAAGTAAAAAGAAAAATCACCTTGTCATTTGTGGTAATCATTTCATAGTGTATTCATATATCAAAACACTATGTGGTACATGGTAAATATATTCAGTTTTTTTTTTTTTTCTTGGCCGGGGCCGGGTTTAAACCTGCCACCTCTAGCGTATGGGGCCGGTGCCCTATCCTTTTGAGCTACAGGCGTTGCCCACAGTTTCTTTTTTTTTAATTGAGACAGCCTCACTTTGTCACCCTGGGTAGAGTGCCATGGCATCATAGCTCATAGCAACCTCAAAGTCTTAGGGTCAAATGATTCTCTTGCCTCAGCCTCCCAAATAGCTGGGACTACAGGCACCTGCCACAGTGCCTAGCTAGTTTTTTAGAGATGGGGGTCTCACTCTTGCTCAGGCTCAAACTTCTAAGGTCAAGCAGTCCACCCACCTCAGCCTCCCAGAGTGCTGGAATTACAGGCGTGAGCCTCCCCACTCAGCCAATATATTCAGTTTTTGTCAATCATACTTCAGTAAAGCTGGGGAAGAAACCCAATTGTCTTTTTATTTTTAAAGTAAAATTTTTTGGTAAGTGCATATTTTATAATTTGTTATCCAAGAGCATATATAATGTGTCTTCAGCTAGATATCCTCACCAGATTTTTGAGATAAATTGTTAATTTCAAAAAAAAAGATCAATCTTTTTGGTATGGAAATTTTCTGACATACACAAAGTAGAGAGAATGGTGCAGTGAATCTCCATGTAATATGTTACTTATCTTAACAATTACCAAATATTGCTGATCTTATCCAACCCCTCCCTCAAATGTTTTTTTTCCTTGGAGTATTTTAAAACACATTCTAGCCACATGTTATTTTTTTTCTGCTTATTTGAAACTAAAAATGACATTTGGTTTTTTTTTAACATAGTCCTTTTGCCTAACATATCTATCAAAAAAAAATTTTTTTTTTTTTTTTACAATTTGTTAGGATCTACTGCATTTGTTGTATCTTTTTCCCATTACCTTAATTGTATCCATTCTTTTTTTTTTTCTTTTCTCATCCCATTGATTTGTGGATGAAACCGGGTCATACACACATATTCTAGATTTGGCTGATTGCTTCCTTGGGATATCATTTAACTTGTTCTTTTATTTCTTGTAAATAACAGTTTGGTGTAAAGTCTTGATTTAGGCCTAGATTCTTTCAGGAAAGAATACTTTGGTAGTACTAAGTACTTGCTATGTCATCCTAATATGAGGCACCATTAACTTCTTTCTCCACCTTCAGATACTAGTTGAATATCCATATGATTACTGCCCAGATCTAAATGTCATTCCTTCCATATTTGTTAGCTAAAATTCTTGAAGGAGAACTTTTCCACAACTATTTGGTCATCCTGAAGCATGGTTCATATAAAGGTTGTCTAAATCTTGATTTTTTTTCATTGTGTATTTTAGAATAGAGTTGTCCAGCAATTTCTGGTAGTAACATGAGAGATTTTTAAATATCATTATAAATTCACAGATTTTTATGTAGTTGATACATTCAAACCATTGCGTTTATTATTCCTTGTAATACTTAAACTGTTCTATCTTTGACCAGTGGGAACCCCTTCATTATTGCTCCTAGGGTCCTTTTAATGTAACTCCGTTAATCTTTAACATCGTATTTGCTTTCAGCACAGGATGCCCCAGGGTCTTCTTGTATATTATATTTCCTTCCCCATAACTGGATTTCACCTTTTCTTTCAGTGCAAAATAGTACAGACTTTTTCCTTCCAAGAAAACTTCTAATGAGTTAAAAAAAATTCTGTAGTGGCTTTATTTTGCATATGATTAATAAGATTTGAAGTCATCTTACAGTTGCCTATGTAACTTTTTCCCCTACAGTATGTTTTTACTCAGTACAACAAACCATTCTTCAGCACCTTTGCAAAAACATCTATGTTTGTTCTGTACCTTTTGGGCTTTATTATTTGGAAGCCATGGAGGCAACAGTGTACCAGGGGATTACGAGGAAAGCATACCGCTTTTGTAAGTTTTTTATTTTAAATGTTTTGGGGAAAAGGGTATATTTTTTAGAGTTAAAGATGTATTTCTTTCTTTATAGAAAGTTAGGTGTTAACTTGTTCAGTTAAGTGAATGCAGATGCTATTTAAAAACTCTGCTTTTGTCCAAAATTTTATATTTATTCTTCTAATCAATGTGAAATTATAATATTTTGTGAGAATTCAATAGTATGTGATTACTCTCTTTCCCTTACCCTGTGACATCCTTTGAGTTGTTAAGAATTGTTGAATTAACCCAAATCAAATAATGCAAAGGAGATGAAAGTAAGGAATAAAAAGAGTATCTAGAGTCTGTTATTTGCAGATTAGATGAGCATCATCTAATTAATTAAGTTGATTGTAGAAATAAAATAATTCACAAGTTTATATATTAAAATGAAAGCGTTTTTCAGACAATGTTTCAGATGCTAATCAAATTATGTTTTTTCATTGATGTAATATAACATGCTCATTCTTAGTATTGAAAGAAATACTACTTTATATTGTAATATATGAGTTCAGACAAGTATGCTCACAAACTCATCCTAGAAAAAGTGTTACATACCTCATTGCTGAATGTCACAGTCACCTGCAAAGTACTCCTCCTAGGAAGCTATGCACCAACACCAGTGCCTAGTCCACCCTTCAGAGCAATTTTGGAACGTTTTTTCTGTAGTGGTCATCAGAGCTGACATCATAATGTCATAGAATGTCGTCAAAATGTCTTCCTTTCCATATTTCCTTTATCTTCAAGTAAAGAAAAAAGTCACTAGGGGCCAGATCAATGAAGTAGGGAGGGTGTTCCAATATAGTTATTTGTTTACTGTCTAACAACAACTCACAAACAGTGCCTGGTGAGCTAGTGCATTGTCATGATGCAAGAACAATGAGTTGTTGGCCAAGATTTTCACTGTAGATTGTCTTGTTTCTCTGTCAATGTTTAATTGGTCTGCTATGGTTCTCAGCTGATGATTTTAACATACAATTCAACAGATTTTTGTAGTGTTTTCATCATTTCTGCTTATTATTGGCCACCCTGGCCTCTCTTCATCAGTGATGCTTTCTCTCGCCTGACATTTGTACATTGCTGTTTTCTTCATGGCATTATAAACTTGGACTAACATGTCCAAGTTTCACTTCCACTCTTGCCAAGGTTAACAAGAAATTTAATGTTTGTTTGTTGTTCTAATTCAAGCTCTGACATTCTTGCAAAGGCACACAAAAACATGCAACAATAATGAACACCACTCAGCAAGATACCACCACATGTCAACACGAACACAGTTGTGAGACTCTGGTAATACCAAGGTTAAGAAACCATACTGAGCTTTTTTGTACAGTGCTGCCAAAGTAAGCACCCAGTGGCAGGTTTATGAACTTAATTGTGAGACCTCATATCTTCCTTATAGAAGTTGAAAGTTTGAATTTTTTAGAATGACAAATATAAAACTGTCCCTTATATTAATCCTTTAAAAATTTTTTCCAGTTTTACTATAGTAATATATATATATAACATAAAAATTAACATTTTAGCCATCTGTGAATATACATTTCAGTAGCATTAAGTATTTTCACTTTGCCGAGTAACCACCACCAGTATTCACATCCAGAACTTTTTCTTTATCCAAAAGTCTGTATCCGTTTAACATGACCCCTAATCTCCTTCTTTCTAGCCCCTTGTTACCCTGTATTATTTCCTGTCTGTATTAATCTTTCCTGTGTACTGTGTATTTTTTGTGAGTTAAAATATTATTCCTCATCTAATGAGTACATTATTGAATATACTTATCTAATGAGTACGTTATTGAGAAACATACTCATTAGATGTATTTTCAGCCATTTAATAGTTATGTTTTAGGTGTAGCCTAGAAATGTACACTCAGATGCAGACACATACTTAATTTACCAAAAATATGAATATATTTTACCTTGTAAAAGTAACATGTGTGCTTTATAAAAGTTATATGTATATTATAGTAATATACCTAGGATTAAATTGTACATATATTACTACATGTACATTGTTAAAAATTTAGAAAATACAGAGAAACAAAAGGAAGAAAATAGATTCTCCTGTTTAAGAAATAACTGCTGACAGTATTTTGGCATATAGCCTGCCATTCTTTTCATGTGTATTTATTTTATTTTTTTTTACAAAAATGGTATTGTACTGCTAGATCTTATTTTATAACTTGCTTTTTCCACTTAATATATAATGAAAAACTCTACAAATTTATGGAAATATATAATTTTAAAAGTTTTTCTATAAATTTCTATATATTTAGATAGTTTTTCTGCATAGTATTTTCTGTAAATTTCTATAATTTTCAACATAATTTTACTTTTCTTTAATATGTCATGAATATCTTTCCATGTGAATTAATACAATTTATTATCATCTTTTCCTATTTTACTTGACTAATCCTTGATAAGTGTTTCTATGTTTACTGTTTATATAAGTAAATAGGAGTATTTTTAACCTATTAAGAAATTTAAGTTATTTACTTAAATTCCCAAAGGTACGATGCAGGATAAAAGAGTAGTGTCATTTTTAAAGCTTTTTATTTTTACTACTAAGTTGCCATGTTCTGTGGTTGCACTAATTCATATCTCCATTAGCAGTATCATTAAACAATAAATCTCATGGTTTAACCCTTACCAAAATCCCAACACTTGGCAATTTGTTAGGTGTTTAATTGGCATATTTTAAGTTACTTTTTCATATATTCATTGGATAGTAGACCTCTTTTGTGTATTGTTTTTATCTTGTCCTTTTTTTCTACATTGGTCCTTCTTTCGTTATTGATTTATAAAGGTTCTTTCATAGTGTGGGCTCTACTGTTTGAATCTGGTTCTATCTCTTGCTAATTTTATGACCTTGGCTAAGTTATTTAAACTCTTCAGTCTTTCAGCAAAGGCAATGTGATAGGCTAGCAGTGGGTATGAAATGAAATCATACTTATAAAGCATTAGCACAGTGGTTTCAAAAGTGTGCTTTAGGCCCTGAGATTCATTCAAAAGATTCTTGAGGTTAAAACTTTTTTCAGGATAATAGATATTACTTGCCTTTTAAGGTAGCCCACCCATCCTTCCTTTGCTTATCTGAAATTTTCTAATAGTGTTGCTAAAAGGGAATAAACTTTGACATTAGAATAACGTGGGTTTTAATCCCAGCTCTCAGAATTTAAAGCTTTTTAGCCTCAGTTTCTTCAATAAAATAAAGATGATAATGCCTACCTTGCGTTCTTGAATACTTGGCATTAGCTGCTGCTGTTTCTGGCTTTTTGGTTTTATTCCTTTGAGTTGCATCTAACTAGTCTCACATTATGAGTTTAATTCAATTTTATGTTCCATTATCTGTATTTAGTTTGCAGATGCTGAAGGTTACTTTGCTGCTTGCACAACAGATACAACTATGAATAGTTCTTTGGTAAGTGCTTCTCTTGTCAGGGATGGAGCAGGTGGAGTGGAGCCAAGCCTGGTAGAAAAATTTTTTTGATGGCACCGCAGTTACATTATGATGGAGGTAGATACATATAGCTCAATATTGGGTGCTGGCCATGAGAACTGTAATTTGAACCTAATGGTAAGCAATTTAGCTACCTCAGAGGAGAGAGGGAAGAGGAAAATGGTTAAGGAGTGAAAATAGTAAAAAAAATCCTTTGTTTCTTAACAACCATTTTGTTTTATGCATATTATTATTAAGAAACAAATATTTTTGTTGAGCACTGAGAATATATAAGCAGATTTTTTTCCCCCACTAATTTTTTAGGGTGCCTGACAGATGGTAAGCACTTGTTCTAGGTTCTGGAAATATGGCTGTGTTTGTGTGTGTCTGTGTGTGTGTCTATGTGTGAGGGAACAGATGATAAGCAAACAAAGTCATGAATACATTTGCTTATTGTGAGTATTTATAATCTAGTTGGAGAGATAATGTCTTTTTTTTTTTGGTTGGGGTCGCGTTTGAACCTGCTGCTTCCGGTATAGGGGGCTGGTGCCCTCCACCTTTGAGCCACAGGCACTGCCCAAGGAATCTGTTCTTTGTAGACCATCACTAACGCATCTCTTTAAAGTGTGCTTATAATGATAATCCTTTTTCTTCCACACATGACATTTTATTTGATAGAAACTTTACTCTAAAATTTAATACCAGTTTGTGAAGCAGTGGCTTGGTAACCTATTGATAGTACAGTTTTTCGTTTCTCTGTGTATCTTTAGAATTACCAGTACATGCAGTATAGGTTAGTAGGTCCTACAAAGAATTTCTTTTTATTATATTTAAATATTAGACATAATGTGTCAGCGCTATTATATTACATTTTTAAACTTTAAACTGATTCTTTTCTGTTATTGTACCTGGGTAAATCAGTTGAGTTTCCTTTTTAAGTTTGGAAAATGCATTTTGAGAAAGCTAATGCTGTTTAAACATGGTGTTGAGCAACCATATTTTTGATAGTATCTAAGGCTACATACCATTCATTTACATTTTAGCTGCTTTATCACCTTTATCCTTCCTGTTTATATTTGTTCTATTACATTCCAGAGTGAACCTCTGTATGTTCCTGTGAAATTTCATGACCTTCCAAGTGAAAAACCTGAGAGCACAAACACTGATACTGAAAAAAGTGAGCAAAATTTAAAATTCCATAACTTAAAAATGGGTATAAAATTTAGCTTTATTCAAGCCACCTCAAAACTTAGTGATTATGTGGGTTGACTGGAATCATATTTGAGTTCTTCACTTTTTTTGTGCTGGCTTAGCTTGCAGTCTTCTGGAAATTTGACGGGATTGTGAATCTGATGTCGTATAACCATTTTTATATTAATTCGACTAGAAATAATTTTCAAATCAAGAAATTTCTATGGTTTCATCATATATATGTATTTGTGTATATATGTATATGTGTGTGTATATGTATGTATGTGTATATATATGTATATCTACAAACAAACAATATTTTTTTAAACACGGCCTTAAAGACCCTAATAGCAAATTCTAGGAGTTGTACTGGTTCTGTGAATTTAGTGAAGAATGCCACCTTCAACATAATGTACGGTGTTCATTCATAACTTCTCTTGCAAGGAATAGACCTTAGAAGAGGAGTTCTGTGTGCTTGCCCAGGAAAATAATTCTAGTAAATTGGGTATCCATGAGGAAAAATCCAAATAAGTTTTTACTAGAAATGCTAAAATAATAATCATACTAAAATCCTACATTAGGCAGTTGTGTATATATAGTGCACAACAGCAGAACCCTTGTTTGAATATTGGTCTAAGTTTAAAACAGCGGTTCTCAACCTGTGGGTCACGACCCACAGGAACTGTATTAAAGGCTCATGGCATTAGGAAGGTTGAGAACCATTGCTTTAAAACATTTTTATGATGAAACTGTTTTTTTCCTATTAACTCTGAATGAAGCTGCCCTAGGCAATAATACAATTCTGGTTTTCTTTGACTGTCTTACTGTGATCAAAGATGAGTTAAATAATACCCATTTACCAGTAAATTAAAACTTGTGACTTGTGTTGGAGGGGAAACTTTTAATGGTTTGTATGATGCTTTTCCTTTTAAGCTCCCAAAAAGTCTCGTGTGAGGTTCAGTAATATCATGGAGATTCGACAACTTCCATCAAGCCACGCCCTGGAAGCGAAGTTATCTCGCATGTCGTATCCTACTGTGAAAGAACAGGAATCCATACTGAAAACCGTGGGGAAACTAACTGCGGCTCAAGTAGCGAAAATCAGCTTTTTTTTCTGCTTTGTGGTAGGTTTTTTCTTCATAATATTTTTGGAATTTAAATTTTAAGACTGTATACATGTGCATACCAATAATATAGTATCAAAGTGTGAAAGGACTAGATTGTTTAATTGTAACTTTAAACTTGCTTTCTGGAATCATTGAGAAGTTAGAGTATCAAAGATAGTAAATGCCTGTCACACCTTATGGAGTTAGAACTCAGAACCATAACACTTCAGCTGTTCATCTTTAATATTTATACTTACACACGTGCATCCACACAGCGTAGGAAGTTCTTAAGAATTTACCCTTACCTCAGGGGTCAGAATTTTGAATAGCGTTATTTTATATTGTGATGTATATACAAGGGGGTAATAAGTATCCAGATAAGAGTTTACGATAGCATTGATTTCTCCAAATAGATGTTTCTGCAGTTTTATATTAAATTCATGTAAATGAGCTCAAGTACTCATAGTAAATATTTCTACATAATTTCTTGTAGTGTTGTTTGTACCTTCTTTATGATTTTAATACAAAAACTGAAAAATGTACTTAAGATTTCACATAGAATAATGACAGAGCAAATAAGGATTATTATTTTGAGCTAAGCCGGGATTAGAGACACTATATGAGTTAGTGAGAACTCTAAAGTGCAAAATTATAAAAAATGAATTTCGGTGTTATGTATATATCTTTGGAAATAGCCTAATCCCAGGTGTTTAATATGAGCCTTTAAGATTCAGATTTATACCGAGCATCTTAAAGCACTAGATAATGCAGTGCTGATGTCAGTATTATTGGCCTCATCATGGGCTTTTTACTTCATGATTTTGCCTCTCATATCCCTTTTTCATAGCCCATTTTTCTCCATTCCCTTGTAGAATAGCCTGTACTTTAGAGACAACTTGATTAATATATTCTGCTATGCAAATTGAAAGAAAGTCTTCAGGAGTTTTAATATGATAATTACATATGTAATAAAGTAGTTTAAAGGCTCATATATTTGAATTATGTTATTGGTTGTGATTTGTTTGCTTGTTTTAAATGAGGGTAAGGCCGGACTCATTTATTAGTTATTTGCTACCTAATTTTCAAAGGAGACATGCAAGAAAAGCATCTACAGTTGACTCTTGTACAGCGTGGGGGTTGGAACACCGAGGCCCATGTAGTCAAAAAACCTCCAAAATAACATATAAGCTACTAATAGCTTACTGTTGATCAAAAGCCTTACTGATAACATAAATAGTCAATTAACACATTTTGTATATTACGTGTATTATACAAAGGGACAATGAAGTTCCTGAAAAAGCACTTTTTCTAGGATGAGTTGTGAATTTAATTGTTTGACCTTGTATGACAGCAGTTCTCATGGCTATTCCGGAGAAAGAGTTCCAAAACTGCTTTGAAAGGTGGACTAGGTCCTGGGGTCAGTGCACAGGTTACTAAGGGGAGTACTTCAGAGGTGACGGTAGTGATATTTAGCAGTGAGGTATATAGCACTCTTTCTAGGATGAGTTTGCAAACTGAATTGTCTGACCTTGTATATTGTATTCTTACAATAAAGTAAACTAGATAAAAAAAGTTATTAAAAACATTGCAAGGTAGCTCTTATAGCTCAATGGTTAGGGCACCAGGCATATACACCAAGGCAGCTGGGTTCGAACCCGGCCTGGGCCTGCTAAATAACAATGACAATTGCAACAAAAATTAGCTGGGCGTTGTGGCAGGCGCCTCCCCAAACTAATGGGGAGGCTAAGGCAAGAGAATTGCTTAAGCCCAAGAGTTGGAGATTGCTGTGAGCTGTGACGCCATGGCACTCTACCAAGAGTAACATAGTGAGACTCTGTCTCAAAAAAATAAAAAAAGAACATCATAAAGAAGAGAAAATATGTTTCCTATTCATTAAATGGAGGTATTCATAAAGGTCTTCATCCTTGTCACCTTCACACTGAGTGGGCTAAGGAAGAGGAGAGGTTAGTTTGCTGTCTGTGGGTGCCTTGGTGGAAGAGAATCCCGTATAAGTGGATCCACACAGTTCAAACTCATGTTGCTCAGTGATCAATTACATTGGGTAAAAGTTAAAGAGTGAAAATGGCCAGATGAAATGGGCAGTGGTGTGGGAGCTGCCTGTGAAATGTGATGATTATTATCAGGAACCCACTTTAAAGGAGGAAAGCTACTTCATGTGAGCACACAACTTACCTCTAGGGAAAAATGGCAAGGTGGCAAAAAAAAAAAAAAAAAAAAAACCTGAGTTACATAGTTTGTCTATGAAAAGGAAGTGCCTCCCTTCCTTGGACAAAGGAAACTTTTTCTTAAGTTAAAACTATGAGAGAGATGTATTACATACATTCTTTATGTAATAAAGCACTATTCTTTATAGCAGGTTTACAGATATGTGCAGATGATAGCCTTTTTAAGAAGTATTTTTTGAAATTAAAACACACATAACATATAATTTACCATTTTGCCTATTTTTAAGTGTACAGTTAGGGTCATGAAATACATTCACTTTGTTGTGTAACCATCACCCCATCCATCCGCAGAGCTTTTTTCATCTTGCAAAACTGAAACTCTATCCATTAGACAGTAACTCCCATTTTCCCCTCCACTAGTGCCTGGCACCACTGTTCTACTTTCTGTTTCTGTGAATTTTAGTTCTCTGAGTACCTCCTATGAGTGGAGTCACACAGTATTTCTCTTTTTGATACTGGCTTATTTCACTCAGCATAATGTCCTCCAGATTTGTCAATATGTCAGAATTTCCTTCTTTTTGAAGGCTAGATAATATTTCATTATACACCACATTTTGTTTATTCATTCCTCTGTCATTAAGACACTTGGGTTACTTCCACTGTTAACAGCCTTTAAAAAATATCAACCTGAAATAGTCGAGATGGGTATTCTTTTGTAATGAAGCCTTTTGGAAACAAGAGCCAGAGAATGGAGTTTGGGGAGAGCTAGAGAATGGGAAGGTCATTCTGGAAAGAGTTCATAGCTAATGAAGGATTCGTAAAATCTTTGAAGGCCTGTTACCTAAGTGATCTATTTTTATTTCTTTACTTAGCATTAGCGGGGACTAGTAAGATTGTTTGGAAAATGAGCACAATATTAAACTATTAAACTGTAAAGAGAAGTAAGTCAATAAGCTAATTATCACCTCATCAGCATTATCTGTTCTTATAGAAAGTCTCCAAAAAATAATTACAGGCAAAATCTGCCTTTTTTCTAACACTTCAACTGTAGGCAGATTGTGATTCCTATTGCCATATATGTTTGATATTGCCCCTTTTCCCAGTTTTTACCTCATTTTCTTATTTATGGATAGGCACGTGAAATTATCTAGGAAGTCAGGATTGCAAATGGAATCAGAACCACTTTGCCACGGTTTCACTGGCTTACCCTCGAGTATGGTATTGGCTGACTGGAGACGACTAGACTGTCAGCCATCTGCTGCCTTCTGGTAGTGCTCCAAGATTTTGCGTCTGTGTGGCTTCCTTGCAATGTAAATGCCCATAATCTTACTACATGTTTAGCTACTGAGAGAGATGGAGAGATGTCCCTCTCTATATAGAGACAAGTCATTCTTCAGTGGAATAACTCTCTCAATCAATCTGTAAGAAGCAGAGACAATGAGACTAGCAGTTAGTTTACTTTCATTGACCCAGCATTGCACTCCTTAGTATATACTTTAGTGACATATACGTACATACATACATATGAGGTGGCATGTACTAGAATTAGAATGTTCATAGCAGCATTATTTGAAATAGTAAAAAGTGTTTATCCACAAAATAAATTGATGAATTACCAGTGAAAATAAATCAACTGTGGATGTACACACACAAAGAATGTCTTAATTCTTCTTAAATCAAAATTATTTAAAGTAGCAACAGGATTAGAAATATCCTAATCTAGATGAGTAGAAGAGAAGAAGGAAAAAACATCCCTGAGGGAGGGGATTGGAGGGATCACTTCTGAGGTTTGTCTTACAAGGGTACAAGTGAATCTTTCTAAGAGCAGAATGTGAACGTTTTAAAATAATAACTAAGAAAATGACACGAAGGCTATGTTAACCAGTTTGATGGAAGTGTTTCGGATTGTGTGTGAAAACCCCACACTGTACCCCAGAAGTGCATTAATGTACATAGTTACCATTCGATAAAAAAAAAAAAAGAAAAAACGTCCTTGAAACTGAAAACCTTCCTCACTATATCCAAAGTTAGGAGAAGTCTTTGGGTTGTGCCTCTAAACTGAGAAGCAGAAAAACAATCACAACCAGTAAATTCACAATTTTCACAGGACATTTCTAAATTTCCAAGGTGAATATAGCCCTTTATCTACCAGTCTAGCTAGCTAGCTAATTCCGTCCATCTCCATGGACATAATCTGATTTAATAGGATTCTCATTATGCTATATTCATCTGTATATATTTTAATGTTTGAGAATCTTTTCAAAGTTAAATTTGATTTAGATAAACTATCAGTAGTACTTGGATAAAGTAAATTTTAAAGTTGATTTGGTGCTTGATTTTATCTTCATTTTTTAAAAAAACCCGACTGGTAATTATTAACCAACTATTTTTAATTTTTTAAAGGAAATTGGGTAGCGAGATCTTAGGTTAGATCATAAGTGTTTGTTGTTTTGGGGGGCCTTGGGATCTTTTCAATACAAAGCAGTTTTTAAAACCTCTTGTAATAACATTGTTTAGGAGGAAACAAAAGAGTGGACTATGAATTCTAATGACAGCTGTGAACACATCTTTCATTAAGGGTTCACTTTGTTTTCTTTTCTTTAGTGGTTTTTGGCAAATTTGTCCTATCAAGAAGCACTTTCAGACACACAGGTTGCTATAGTTAATATTTTGTCTTCAACTTCTGGTAAGAAATTTCTCTTGAAAAACTGCATTGTAAGTCAGTATATATATTTCTGCTATATATGTGTGTACATGTATAAACATTTTTATCTTATTACAACTTACTACATTAGTTCTAGTGTACATTTGTCTGTTATAATTGCCTCTTAATCTTTATACAGTTGTATTCCATATAACAGTGTTTTGGTTAATGATAAACAACATACATGGGGGGGAGGGGTCCCATAAGATTACACGTATTAATGCCATATTTTTACTATAACTTTTCCATGTTTAGGCACACAAATACTTACAATGGTGTTAGAATTGCCTACAATATTCAGTACAGTAACATGCTGTACAAGTTTATGGCCCAGGAGCAGTAGGCCAGACCACATAGCCTAGGGGTATCGTGGACTGTACCATCTGGCTTTGTAGAAGTGCCCTCTGTTATGGTTGTTGCACAGGGATGACATCATCTAACAACACCTTTCTCAGAATTTATCACTGTCATTTAGCACGACTGTAGTTTCATGCCTGAATCTGTGCTATTTATGTTCCTTCAAATACTTCACAGTATTTTCTCTATAACAATACATTAAGTTGGCTTGGCGCCTGTGGCTCAAGTGGCTAAGGCGCCAGCCACATACACCAAATCCAGCCTGGGCCCACCAAACAACAATGATGGCTGCAACCAAAAAAAAATAGCCAGGCATTGTGGCGGGCGCCTGTGGTCCCAGCTACTTGGGAGGCGGAGGCAGGAGACTTGCTTGAGCCCAGGAGTTGGAGGTAGCTGTGAGCTGTGATGCCATGGCACTCTACCCAGGGGGACAGCTTGAGGCTCTGTCTCAAAAAAAACAATAAATAAATAAAATAAGAAAACAATACATTAAGTTTTTATAGGTTAGCTCTTTGTATTGTAGTCGTCTTCTTTCCTATCTCATGTGCTTTCCAAAGATCTTTTTCTAGACTCTGGCTAAATGTAATTGCTTATTTCAAAACTGTAATTTGCCCTATGATATGTGTTTTATTTTTAAGATTAAATCACTTTCCAAATCTGGAAAATAAAAGAAGTATTTTTGAAGCTATAAAAATAACTTTAGCACATAGGCTTGATTGTGATGAGGTCAGAGTGTTACTCTGAATCCTCAGTTTAACTCATTAGTTTAAAATAAATTGGACTATACTTGGTCTGTAACTAGCCTGGGTAACTGCAGTCTCATTCTTAGTTATTTAAGAAAGACAGAAGTTTAAAAGTTAGGTATGTAATTTACGTATTTAAACAAGGAAGTTGGTAGTAAACAATGTTGACAGTATTTAAGCTCATTTACCTCTTTTCATCCTTTTCTCCCCATAGGACTTTTTACCTTAATCCTTGCTGCAGTGTTTCCAAGTAACAGTGGAGATAGATTTACCCTTTCTAAACTATTAGCTGTAATTTTAAGGTAAGAATGTACCTTAATAACTTAATGAACATTATACTACTCAATCCTGCGTCCCATCCTGAACTAGTTATCTAAACCTTCTTGGGGAAGGTAACCAGATGGAAGGACCCCATGGCAGCCTTGCTTCTAATTCCTGTGTTCACAGACTTACTAAGTGTTGTACTGATGATTACATTTCATTTAATGTGACAGAGTAATCCTCATAATCACCCAAGTTTCTATTTCTTTTGCCTGAGACACATTCCCTTTTTTGTTTTCATTCTCTTTTCTCCTTTTCCTCCTTCTAGAAATCCAACATTCATTCAGTCTTCTCTAAGTCTCAGGTGATCTTTCAGTAATTTTCTGTAGTATTCATTTGATAGTTTTGCACTACTGCATAACATCAGTATTATTGATAAGTATATATGATCTTTTATTTAACTGGCGTATGTTTGACTTATCTTCTCTGCTGGATTATAAACACTTGAAGGCCAATGCCTTAGTTTAGATTTGTGTCACCCATAGGGACTTACTTGCCTATAGACAGTACTCAAAAGATATGTTAGTTTGGTAAAGCTGTTATTTTTGTGAGAGAAAATTAGAGAAGGTAGCAGAATAATTTAATGGAGATCGGAGTGTTTCTTAGCTATCAGAGCTGGGATTGGATAAGAGACAGCTTTGCTGTTTCTCCTAGGTAGTTCCCTTAAACTCTGAGAGGGTTTCCTAGTTGAGGAAATAATGATAAAATGATAATACTATCTGCTTTGCAGCCTTGCTTTAAAGTTTGGAGGTAATAGTGACTATTTATAGACTGGTGCTTGATAATAACATAAAACGGGTAGCCTTTATTATATATTTTTCTCTTTTAGATAGAAGGGTAAATTAACTGTGGGACTTTGAGTGGGTAGACTGGTTGAACCAAGTAATTTACCATTTACCATTTAGAATTTATGGGCACTAAGGAATTATTCTTTAGCATGGTTGGCTAATGTTTTAGCCCAGCGATTCTTAGCCTGTGGTTAGAGACCCATAGGAACTGTATTAAAGGGCCACGGCATTAGGATGGTTGAGAACCACTGTTTTAGCCAAACTGGGGAAGTAAATGAGGTTTTATTTAACTTTATTCAGAGTAAGTGCTGATTACTAATTTTCTTTGTAGTATTTTAAGACTTGATAAAGAAGGAAATTGAAACAAAATATTGAATGTGCAAGTATTTTTGACAGAGTACTACACTACTCCTCATTAAAGTAGGTCTAGAACAGAGGTTGGCAAACTAAGGTAGGCCAGCTGCCGGGGGGGTTTTAAATTAAATTTTATTGGAACACAGCCACACTCATTATTTGCAAATTATCTGTAGTTGTTTTAGCTACAGAGGCAGAGTTGAATTGGCAGGAGAGACCATATGGCCTGCAGGTTTAGAATGTTTACTATCTGTCCTTTTAAAAAAAAGTGTCAGGGAGGGTAATTGGTGGGACCATATCTACAGTGCATCTTACAAGGGTACATGTGAAATTTACTAGGTGTAGACTATAAATGTCTTAACACAATAACTAAGACAATGCCATGAAGTCTATGTTAACCAGTTTGATGAAAATATTTCAAATTGTATATAAAACCAGCACATTGTACCCCATGATTGCATTAATGTACACAGCTATGATTTAATTGTAAAAAAAGGGGGCGGGCAGTGCTTGTGGCTCAAAGGAGTAGGGCGCCAGCCCCATATGCCAGAAGTGGTGGGTTCAAACCCAGCCCTGGCCAAAAACTGCAAAAAGAAAAGGAAAAAAAGTGTAATTTGGAAATTGTTTGTATATGTTCTTAAGAGATATATATTAAATATTGTTTTACACTTTGTTTTGGATTGCTTTTTATAATGAAATTCAGTTTGTGAGGGCATAGAAAGAATTTTACTTAGCAACAATCTTGAAGGAAATCTCTTAAGAAATCTCATTTCATCAATTGAGGGACAAAGAAAGAGTGTGACCTCAAGCCAAACAACCTAGAATCCAACCCTGCCTACATCGTTACTGTTTTTGAGATCTTGGGTCAGTTTCTTACTGCTCTGTGCCAATTTCCTCATCTGCAAATAGAGGATAAAATAGGATTTGTCTCATAGGAATGTTATGAGGATTAAATGAGTACTTCTTTTTTTTTTTGAGACAGTGTCTCAAGCTGTTGCCCTGGGCAGAGTGCTGTGGCATCACAGCTCACAGCAACCTCAAACTCTTGGACTTAAGCGATTCCTGTGTCTCAGCCTCTCAAGTAGCTGGGACTACAGGCACCTGCCACAATGCCCGGCTATTTTTGTTGTTGTTGTTGTTATTGTTGTTTCAGCTGGCCTAGGCTGGGCTCGAACCCGCCAGCCTTGGTGTACATGACCGGCACCCTACACACTGAGCTATGGGTGGTGCCCTAAATGAGTACTTCTAATGAACTTGGAACAACTTCTGATACGCAACAAGTGTCCAGTGGAATTTAGCCATTATTATCATCATCTAAATGGGAGCAAAACTTCTGGTTTCTAGTAGATTGAGGGTACTCAATGAATAGTAGCTGCATCTGAATTCCAACAATGATCATTACAGAATATTGTGATGATTTAATCGAAGGATATGAATATTTAATGAAAGAACTATATTTGACTTATGTTGACATCATTTCATAAGGAAAAAAGTAATCTTTTCCTTATTCTTCTCCCATTGACACCCTGATCTTTCTGATCAGTAGGTGAGAGACAGATTTTTTTTTTAAGTTAGCAGTAGTTCTTCAGCTTGAAAAAATACATAGAATTTATAAGATGCATAGAAGAAGAGAGATGATGTAAACTCCCTGGGAAAAGGACTGTCTTGTTCACTGCTGAAACCTACTGCTTTGCACATATTAAATGCTCAGCAAATAACAACTGAAGGAAAGATCTGTGATATCTCTACATCTTTAATTCAGTCTTATTTTTATCTACTGGCATCGGGGTTAGTGAAATTATTTAAGTATGTAAGAGTAGTTTTATTACTAATGTAGGTTTTGCCAGTAAGCAAGAATAGTGCCATTGCTAGCTTTATATAGGTTTAATATATGTATATTTCCAAAAGAAAGATTGGAAGAGGGATGCCAAGTTGATAAATTTGTTCCTATTTGAAAGGCATTAGCGAACATAGCACATGAGAACACTGGGCTCTGGGGCCAGCCCACCTGCATTTTAGTCACAGACAGGTCATCTTGGTTGAGTTTACTTTTCCTCTTTGTGTGTTAGTTTTTGCATATAAAAAGGGAAGGGCATAGATAAACTATCAATATAGTATAGTGGTTCATTTGGATTAACTTATTTAATCCTCACACTATACTTTATTGATAATATTGTTGCTATTGTTAATGAAATCACAAAATTCTTTGTTTTACCCAAAATTGAGATTAGTCGTGATTACTTGAAAATAATTTTTATTTTTATGATTAGGCTTTTGTAGAATTGTTTTGCTCATCTGTAATTACTGTTCCTCTCATAGCATTGGAGGTGTTGTACTTGTAAACCTGTCTGGCTCTGAAAAATCTGCTGGAAGAGATACAATAGGTGAGTACCTGATTGCATTCTCACTTTTAAGAATATGCAAGAAATTTTTGTGCATATTGTTACAGGAATGTGAAGTTGTGCACAGACATACACACCAGGTGGGCACTAACAGGGGCTTTTTATACTCTATTTCTTTAGAAAAATGTAAATATAAATCATAGTTTACAGAACTCTCAGAAAACCTTTATCCAAATGTTAACATAGTACAGTTAGAAAAATCAGGAGTTAACATTGACAATAATACAGTATCTAGGGAGCATTTTCAAATTTTCACATTTTTAAAAAATTAATTGTTTTTTCCTGGTCTAGGATCAATTGTTGCATTTAGTTAGTTGTCATGTCTCCACAATTTTCTTTAATCTGGAACTTCTCAGTTTTTTTACATATATATATTTTTTATTTTTGGTCTTTTATGACCTCGACACTTTTGTCAGGTACTGTCCAGTTGTTTTGTAGACTGTCTGACATTTCCATATGGTTATATTGAGGTGGTACATTTTTGTTAAGAATATCATGGAAGTGGTACTATTTTCCGATCAGTGCATGATTCCAGAAGGTACATAATGTTGATTTGTTCCATTACTCGTGATGTTAATTTGAAGGTGTATCTGCCAGGTTGCTTTAGTGTGAAATTACTAATTTTATCCTTTTTAAGTAATAAGTATCTTGTGGAGGATACTTTGAGACTATATAAATTTCCTGCTGCTATTATGCTTTCCTCCACTAATTTTGTCTTTCACTATTGATTCTTGCCTGAAACAGTTACTACTATGGTGAACACTTGGGTTTTAATCCATGGCTTAGATTTAACAACAAAAAAAAAGTAATCAGAATCCAGCTTAATGATTTCCTTTTGGATACTTCTTTAGATATTTGAAATTTATTGAATAGAACAATGCTCTCTAAATTATTCCTAAATTACTAAAATACTGCCTAGTGAGCTGTGCCTTGAAGTGCCTATCTTTCTTATGCAAAACAGCTTTGTGTACATAAAGCTCTGTGTGTTTGTGTGTGTGTTGTGCCTATGAAAACTTTTGTTGACAGGCTTTTTTCATGCTTTTAAAAAAGTTTCAGGCTCAGCGCTCATAGCTCAGTGGTTAGGGTTTAGGCCATATGCACTGAGGCTAGTGGGTTCGAACCTGGTCCAGGCCCGCTAAACAACAATGACAAATGCAACAAAAAAATAGCTGGGCTTTGTGGCAGGCACCTGTAGTCCCAGCTACTTGGGAGGCTGAGGCAAGAGAATTGCTTAAGCCCCAGAGTTTGAGGTTGCTGTGAGCTGCAACACCATAGCACTCTGCTGAGGGTGACATAATGAGACTCTGTCTCATAAAAACAAAAAAAAAGGTTTCAAAATAATAAAAATTAGATTTAATGAAACATTGGTCATTTGAAGAATTGATTAAAATATTTAGTATGGTCATTTGGCATTGTTAACAATATTTTTAAGTGTTAAAAGACAAATGTTTTTGAGAGGGAGTTAATAAAGAGCATCAGTACTTACTATTCATGTCCTATGAGCTCTGCATTATGTTAGATATTTTGGAAACTTAAAAAGTATAATGTATTTGCAGTTTTCAAGGAGTTCTTGATATGAAACAATATGAGATTTACAAAATAAAGCCACTATAGATTAAAATAATACCATATTTAATCTTAACAAGTATAATTGTCTAAAGCAGAAGGCAAGTAGGATGGAAATTCTGTGGAGTTGACTCAAAAGAGGATTGATTCAGGGCAGCGCCTATAGCTCAAAGGAGTAGGTTGCCGGCCCCATATACCAGAGGTGGCAGGTTCAAACCCAGCTCCAGCCAAAAACTGCAAAAAAAAAAAAAAAAAAAAAAGAGGATTGATTCATTGTGAAAGAGGTGGGACTTTATCAGAGCCTTGAAGATAGGTGGTAATGGAACATAAAGTATTAATGGTAAGGAAATAAGGAATAGCTTAGTGATGAAGGAAGCATTTGTAGAATTGAACAGTGCCAGCTATCAAAATTGTTTAGGTAGGGAAAATAGGAAGTATATATTTCAAAATTAAAAAACAAAGTATTACTTAGAAGTTTTATTATTATAACGTATAGGTTTGGTTAGGTCATAGAGGAGGTGAATTCTTTTGTGTTTATTTGTCAACACCTTAAACTCTTTCCTATATTCTTGGAAAACATAGGTGGGCCATTATATGTGTTTATATCATTATATGTCTTTTTTGTATGCTTATTTCTTATGGTATTGTCTGATTATTTAATTTTAAGTGTGTATTGAATGAGTTAATAATGGCTGCTTTAATCATGTTGATTTTTACAGGTTCCATTTGGTCTCTTGTTGGAGCCATGCTCTATGCTGTCTATATTGTTATGATTAAGAGAAAAGTAGACAGAGAAGATAAGTTGGATATTCCAATGTTCTTTGGTAAGAACATATTTGTGAGGTTATTAACTCTAAATGATTAACTTAGGCTATTGTTTTTGGGTTTTGGAGGAACCGTTTTCCTGCCCCCGCATATGATTCATTAAGATTGTTGAAAGATTATAAAGTTTTCTTTCATTGTTTTTATCTTACTTTGTCCTGCATTGTTGTGCATCTATAAGGGAACATCCATCCCTCAATATGAGTTACAAAACAAAACTCCTAATACCTTTTTCACATTAATGTCTTCAGCCTGTGAATCACATATTTTCATCATTGACATGACAGAGTTATGATTTTATAAGCATATGAGAATTCACCTGCTTTATAGTACATTTTGCCATTTTTTGAATTGTTGGAAGTGTAAGTTTGGAGGAACTGCCCCTAATGATAGGTGCAATACTGTTCTAGTCTATGTACTTATTTTCATTAAAATTATGGACCATTTAAAGGCTTTCCATTTGCATTTTATTTTTTTTAAAACTAAGAATCTTTTATAACATAGATTCTCAAATTACCCAATTATAGTTTTTGGCGTCATTTCTTAGGTCTGGTAAAGGAAAGACCTAATGTGATTTATAAATTCTCCTTTGCCTAAAATCAGCTCAGTAAAGAATTTGTAGGTTTGCAAAAGAAGAGAATATGGTTAAGATATCTTTTTAAAGATATTTGAACATGGCTCGGCGCCTATAGCTCAACCGGCTAAGGCGCCAGCCACGTACACCTAAGGTGGTGGGTT